CATTGTAAGCATCGCTCTCAGTAGTAAATGGATAGTCTAATCTCTGTAACTAATACATCTGCAGGACAGTTTGGTGTGCTGAAAAACAACAGACTTACTGGCTGGATCACCAGGTGAAAAAGCCTAAAAAAAAAAAAAAAAAAAAAAAAAAAAAAAAAAAAAAAAAACGAATGCAGCCATCACATCTAAGAACTAGTAACAGCACAGTGGCTAAATGGTTAGCACTTCTGCCTGGCAGTACTAGGGTTGTTGGTTTGGATCCCAACCATGGCATCACCTGCCTGGAGTTTGCATGTTCTCCCTGTGCCTGCGTGGTTTTCCTCCCACACTCCAAAGACATGCTGGTAGGTTAATTAGATCCTGTCTAAATTGGCCCTTGTATGTGAATGAATGTGAGTTAGGGACCTTAGATTGTACACCCTTTGAGGGTTAGGGAATGATGTGAATGTACTATATATATGTAAAACAGTGCGTAAATTGACGGCGCTATACAAGTACCTGTAATAATTTGGCAGCACAGTGGCTAAATGATTAGCACTTCCGCCTGGCAGTACATGTACACGGGGCGTTTGGAAAACTCTTCTGGATGATGGAAACTGACTGCTGGACAACATAGATTAAAAACGTCTGTTTAGCTGCGTTTGCATACCGCATTTATGAGCGTTTAGAAGCATTTTTAAACGATAACCTCAGGAGATCCTCCCAAATGCCCAGAATGCACTGAAAAATAGTAAATTAACTATTTCAGACATTTTGAGAGAAATAGAGAGAGCAGAAGCAGAGGGAGTAGTATGTGTTGAGATGACCTGTCTTTCTGGTTGTATTCACTATGGATCCCATCATGAGCATAATGCAGCACGTTTTACCATTTTTTTTTCCCCTTACACGAAACCTGGAGCTGACTGCGCTGGTGTACCGGGTCCATTTGAATACATGGAATACGCTTTGAATGCATTTCTGATGAAAAAAGGCTCTGGACAGCATCTGGACATGGAACAGTTAAACACTTCTAAATGCAAACGCTTCTAAATGTGGTTAACCACGTTTAGGGCTCATGTACACTGCAGCTGGTAAACTGATGTTCAGGAACTGTTGAGTGTTTTTTTCAGCAGTCCCTGAACTCTCCTTAATGTTTTCCTATGTGTCCATGTACACATCTTCGTTTGCAGTCATTTACAGGCAGTTCAGTTTACAGTCATTTTTTTGAACGCACCAAACTTGCGTTCAGGAGTAGATTTCATCAGAATTTCAAATGCCAAATGCTTGTAAACACATGTAAATGCGGCTAACCACGTTTATAAGCATTTGAATTTTTTTTTTTTTTAACTCTTCCATTTCCAAATGCTGTCCAGAGCCCTTTTTTATCATGAAAAATGCATGCAAAGCGGTTTCCTGGTACTCAAATGGACCTGGTACACCATACTTTGAGGTTTCGCATGAAAGAAAATATGTTAGACAGTGCTGCAATAATTTCTGCACAGAAATGAGCTGGAACACATCCAAACACCACAAAAAAAAAAAAAAAAAAAAAAAAAAAAAAAAAAAAAAAAAAAAAAAAAAAAAAAAAAAAAAAAAAGGACAGCTAATCTCAACAAATACTGCTCTCTCTATTTCTCTCAAAATGTCTGAAATAGTATTTTTTTTTTACTGTTTTTCAGTGCATTCTGGGCATTTTGAAAGGTCTCCTGAGGTTATCTTTAAAAAAAAGCTTCTAAACGCAAATAAACGCGCATAAACGCAGTATGCAAACACGGCTAAACAGACGTTTTTTAACCTACGTTTTTCAGCAGTCAGTTTCCATCCTTCAGAAGTGTCCTGTGTACATGGGGCCTAACACATGTTTACAAGCGTTTGAAACTCTGATAAAATCTACTCCTGAACACAAGTTTGGTGCGTTCAAAAAAATTACTGTAAACTTAACTGCCTGTAAATGACTGTGTGTACATGGACACATAGGAAAACACAAAGGAGAGTTCAGGGGCTGCTGAAAACACGCTGACCAGTAACTGAACGTCAGTTTATCAGCTGCAGTGTACATGAGCCCTAACACATTCATCCTAATCCATTCAACACTAAGGCCCCATGTACACAGGACGTTTCTGAACGATGGAAACTAACTGCTGGAAAACGTAGGTAAAAAAAAAAAAATCTGTTTAGCCGTGTTTGCATACTGCGTTTATGCACGTTTGCGTTTAGAAGCGTTTTTAAAAATAAGCACAGGAGAACCTCCCAAATGGCCAGAATGCACTGAAAAGTGGTAAATTATTAACTATTTCAGACTGTTTCAGAGAAATACACAGAGTAGAAGCAGAGACAGCAGTATGTGTTGAGATAATTAGGTGTGAGTTGCTCATTAACATTTCTTTTGTTCCCAAGCATGGGAAGGTGTGTGGTGGAGGGAGTCATTAAGGCCACCTGGCAGGGGGTCTTTATGAGGAATTTGAGGTGTGAATGGTCATTAACCTCTTCACACCGGCCGCACATAAACGTGCGGCCTCCCGGCGTCTGTGCCTAGACGCTGAGCGGTCGCACATTTGCGTTCTATTAAAAAAGGACATATGTGCTGAGAGTGTTTGCACTGCACGCTCCCAGCACACATGTCCGGTACTCACGAAAAGGTCCCGATCTCTTTCGATCTGGACTTTTCCCGATCATGTGACGGCGCGTCATATGACCTTAAACCCCACCCTGCCTCCCGCCATCTGGAACCCTTAAAGGGCCAGGAGGTGCCGGCGTGAAGGGATTAACATATCTTAAGTTTCCAAGGGTGGGAGAGGTCTCAGGTGTGAATTGGTCATTACAATGTGTGACAAGCTTGGTAGGAACATCCTGTGTTCAGTGTTTTGTCCATCTGAGCACCTTGAAAATGCTTTGCATTTTTTCATGATGAAAAAAGGCTCTGGACAGCATCAGGAACTGGAAGAGTTAAAAAAAAAAAATTTCAAATGCAAACACTAATAAATGTGATTTGCCGCGTTTACAAGTGTTTTGCGTTTGAAACGATGATAAAATCGATGTCTAAACTCAAGTTTGTTGCGTTCAACAAAACGACTGTAAACAATTGTCTGTAAATGACTGTAAACGAAGATTTGTACATTAACACATAGGAAAACATTGGGGGGAGTTCAGGGGCTGCTGGAAAAAAAAAGCTGAACAGCTCCTAAAGGTGAGTGTATCGGCTGCAGTGTACATGAGCCCTAATGCAGGGTTAGCAGCACGTGAAGGGAGAGCGGAGTGTTCCTTCCCCCATACTCCGCCATCACACCCACACAGGATGCTCCAGGTCACACACTATTGCAGAGGTCTGTTAGCTGGGTACAGCCCTCTGCTGGTCTACACGGACCGAGCTCTCCTGCCCCTAGGACTCCATGTTCTATGGGGGATCTCATACCTCAGGTCTGTATTGCAGCATGGTGACTGGAAGGGTCAGCAGTACATGTGATCCATAGAGAAGAGCCGTCTTACCCCAGAACTCGTCCATGTAGGTGCGGTGTACATCCTCCGAGCCCGCACACTCCCATCTATGTGCTCTCCGCCGACACACTGTACTAACTACAGCACCGCTCTCAGCAAACAAGGCGCCGCCCACCGATCTCCATCCATCACTGCCTGGCAACTCCCTCGTAGCCCCGCCTCCTGCCGATCCCACACCTTTCTTCTCTTCTGGGGCGGCAGGACGTCTAGCTCACGTTGTGTTGTAGTCAGGGTGGGGGATCACAAGTCGTCTTCTAGGAAACGTGCCTGAGACTCAGGGAACAGGTGGCTGCGGGCGACTTCTGCCACCTCATGGCTTGGGCTGGTACTGCCACTCAGCTTCAGGAGTGCGAGCAGGTTTTATGTTGCTGACATACACTCAGGCGTCCTTTTATGAAACAGATTTCAGCGGCGATCCTGAGGATCGTTGCTGATCTCCGATCATTTGTGGTTAGGAAACAGATGATTAGTGGAGAACATGTTCATCTCAGCACACAGATGGGCAGTGTATGAAGGAGCGATGTCAGCCCTTCACTGGCGATCTGTGTTCTCCCTCCAGATTCTCCAGCCCAAAGGTGGAGAATCGGAGGAACTGCAAACGAAGCAGTGATAATTTACCTCAGCTTAGTAAACGATGTTTGATCTCTTACTGTAATCTCACATGATTATAGTAACATCAGTCGTTTTCCAGCGTTCAAAGCGTTTGTAGATCGCTTCTACCTTCATTCAGAGAAGTGATCTACACCGCTTCATAAAAAGGCATTCAGAGGAGAACTGTCTCCTCTGAGAATGCCGGAGAACTGTCTCCTCTGAGAATGCCGGAGAACTGTCTCCTCTGAGAATGCCGGAGAACTGTCTCCTCTGAGAATGCCGGAGAACTGTCCCCTCTGAGAATGCCGGAGACTGTCCCCTCTGAGAATGCCGGAGACCTGTCCCCTCTGAGAATGCCGGAGAACTGTCTCCTCTGAGAATGCCGGAGAACTGTCTCCTCTGAGAATGCCGGAGACCTGTCTCCTCTGAGAATGCCGGAGACCTGTCTCCTCTGAGAATGCCGGAGACCTGTCTCCTCTGAGAATGCCGGAGACCTGTCTCCTCTGAGAATGCCGGAGACCTGTCTCCTCTGAGAATGCCGGAGAACTGTCTCCTCTGAGAATGCCGGAGAACTGTCTCCTCTGAGAATGCCGGAGAACTGTCTCCTCTGAGAATGCCGGAGAACTGTCTCCTCTGAGAATGCCGGAGACCTGTCTCCTCTGAGAATGCCGGAGAACTGTCTCCTCTGAGAATGCCGGAGAACTGTCTCCTCTGAGAATGCTGGAGAACTGAGCAGCGGTCATTTACCACTGCATGATAAAAGGACACCATATTGCCAAAATTATTTGGCCACCCCTCCAAATTATTATTATTATTATTATACAGGATTTATATAGCGGCAACAGTTTGCTCAGCACTTTACAATATAACGGGAAACAATACAGCAACAATACAGTTCAATACAAGAGGGATAGCAGGGCCCTGCCCCTTGGAGCTTACAATCTAACCAAATCATTGGATTCAGGTGTTCCAATCACCTCCATGGCCACAGATGTATAAAATCAAGCACCTAGGCATGCAGACTGCTTCTACAAACATTTGTGAAAGAATGGGTCGCTCTCAGAAGCTCTGTGAATTCAAACATGGTGCCGTAATAGGTTGCCACCTGTGCAATAAGTCCACCCATGAAATTTCCTGGCTACTAAATAGTCCACGGTCAACTGTTAATGGTTTTATAACAAAGTGGAAGCAACTGGGAACAACAGCATCTCAGCCCATGAAGTGGTAGGCCACATAAAATGACAGAGCGGGGACAGCGCATGCTGAAGCACACAGTGCAGAGAAGTTGCCAACTGTCTGTAGCTAATGACGACGACACACAAATCTATCTCTCAACCCCTCGCCTCACCCCTTCAGTCTCCCCCTGAATCACAAACCTACTAAACGACATATCAGATTGAATGTCGCTCCACTTCCTTAAACTGATCCTCTCCAAAACCGAGCTCCTAGTCTTCCCCCCAGCCCGCACACCACCCCCCATTGACTTCTCCATCACGTCCAACAATGCCACTATCAGGCCCGCCCCGCAGGCCAGAGTTCTTGCTGTCATTCTTGACTCCAACCTATCCTTCCAGTCCCAAGTCCAATCACTAACAATTTCATGCAGACTCCACCTCCGCAACATCGCCAAAATCCGCACTTTCCTAACCCCAGAAACCACTAAACAGCTCATCCACTCCCTCATGCCTCCCTCCCTGCCTCGCCACAGGCTATCCCCGCTTCAGTCGATCCTGAATACGGCTGCCAGACTCATTCACCTTTCCAACCGCTCCGTTTCCGCCACCCCCCTCTGCTAATCCCTCCACTGGCTTCCGATTGCACAACGAATCAAAATCAAAATCCTAACACTGACGTACAAAGCTGTCCATCACACTGCCCCAAATTACATCACTGACCTAATATCCAAGTACCGCCCAGCACGCACACTCCGCTCCTCACAAGACCTCCTTCTCTCTAGTTCCCTGGTCTCCTCCTCCTCCCACGCCCGCCTCCAGGATTTCTCCAGGGTGTCACCCATCCTCTGGTACTCCCAGCACCAACCCATCAGACTATCACCTACTCTCCTCTCCTTTAGGCGCACCCTGAAAACCTACCTCTTCAGGGAAGCCTACCCCACCCCCTGCTAATTGCCGACCTCCTCCACTCTTCCTACCACTCCATCCCCCACAGCTTTCCTCCCGTACCACTATCCCCTCCCTCCTAGATTGTAAGCTCGAAAGAGCAGGGGCCCTCGAACCCCTCGTGTATTGCACTGTATTGTTATTGTTCTGTCGTATGTTCTGTCCCCCTTTGTAATGTACAGCGCTGAGCGAACTGTTGGCGCGTTATAAATACTGTATAATAATAATAATAATGACCTCCAAATTTCATGTGGCCTTCAGATTAGCACAACAAAATTGTGTAGAGAGCTTCATGGAATGGGTTTCCATGGCTGAGCAGCTGGATCCAATCCTCACATCAGCAAGTGCAATGCGAAGTGTCGGATGCGTTGGTGTAAAGCACACCGCCACTGGACTCTAGAACAGTGGAGACATGTTCTCTGGAGTAAAGAATCACGCTTCTCTGTCTGGCAATCCGATGGACGTGTCTGGGCTTGGCGGTTGCCAGGTGGACAGTACCTGACTGCATTGTGCCAAGTGTAAAGTTTGGTGGAGGGGGGATTATGCCGTGGGGTTGTTTTTCAGGGGTTGGGCTTGGCTACTTAGTTCCAGTGAAGGGAACCCCTAAGGTATCAGCATGCCAAGACATTTTGGACAATTTCATACTCCCAACTTTGTGGGAACAGTTTGGGGATGGCCCCTTCCTGTTCCACCATGACTGCGCACCAGTGCACAAAGCAAGGTCCATAAAGACATGGATGAGTGAGTTTGGGTGGAGGAACTTGACTGGCCTGCACAGTCCTGACCTCAACCCGATAGAACACCTTTGGGATGAATTAGAGCGGAGACTGTGAGCCAGGCCTTCTCATCTGAAATCAGTGCCTGACCTCCAAATGCGCTTCTGGAAGAATGGTCACACATTCCCATAGATACAAAGAAACGGATAGAAGTGTCGCGCTGCTAAGAAAAGACAATGAATATGAATATACGGACAAAAACATGACTAGTCCAAACGATGATGAAACATAATAAATAGAATTCTTAAAAAAGTCCAAATGAGTAAAATATCTTCCTGCTGGTGATTGTGTCCAAATTCCCAGTGCTGTAAATCTTCAATAAACGTGAATCACCACAGTGAGCATAGACTTCCAGGTGGACTCTCACCTTCTCACATGGACCTGTATGTGAACACATGTCAGAAAAGCATCTCCCCAATAGTGGGGGTAATACATAACTTGCTTCTCTGTGGGCAATCTTCCCCTTATGAATCACCGCTGGACCTTCAAATATGGCACCTGATTTCAGTACAGCCAGCTCTGTGGATAAAAATGGCAACTGTGTTAAAAACGCATTAAAACAATTTTCAAAGCAATCAAATGAGAGCAAAATCCTGCCTGTCAGATCACATTGGAGCACTGATGTCACCCGACCCCTCCCCACGCGTATCGTCACGTACCATGTGACTTCATAAGGGGGGATGCTTTCCTGACCTGTGTTCACATACAGGTCCATGTGAGAATGTGAGAGTCCACCTGGAAGTCTATGTTCACTGTGGTGATTCATGTTTATCGAATATTTACAGCACTGGGAATTTGGTCGCAATCACCAGCAGGAAGATATTTCACTCATTTGGATTTTTTGAAGAATTCTATTTATTATGTATGTTTCATCATCTTTTTGGACAATTAGTCACGTTTTTGTCCATATATTCATTGTCTTTTGTTAGCAGCGCAACACTTCTATCCTTTTCATTTTGTTCTTTATGTTTTCACACATAATACAAGTCTGCAGCAGCTCATTACTCAGTATCCATTTAGCTATTTGGCAGCGCACAATTCCTTTTTGATTTTTATGATTCCCATAGACACACTCCTAAACCTTGTGGACAGCCTTCCCAGAAGAGTTGAAGCTGTTGTAGCTGCAAAGGGTGGGCCAACTCAATATTGAACCCTACGGACTAAGGCTGGCCATACATTATACAATTTTCTTGAGATTGTTGCTTTAGATTTACCAAAAACTATATAATATGAGGTCAAACCTAACAACACTTTCAATTGTATCCAATTAGGCAGGCCCTTGCACTACATAGTTGAAGGTAAATCTAAACGAAATTGTGCAGAAATTGGACAGAAAAGTGTATAGTGTATGGCCAGCCTAAGACTGGGATGCCATTAAAGGTCATGTGCGTGTAAAGGCAGGTGTCCCAATACTTTTGGCAATATAGTGTAGTACAGTAGCTTTCTGCAGGAGTTCTAATTAGGGTCGCTACCTCATCCCTTTAAAAAACCCCACAATACTTACATTGGTACTGAAGCTAATTTAATGCAGACAAGGTATTAAACGAGTTTAATTTCCACCTTCATCAGCCGCAGAACCCGTGTAATTAATGTGTTCCGTTTTAAAGGGATGAGGTGGCAACCCTAGCTCTAATAACTGGTGCCAATTCTATTGCCTCTAGTAGAATCATCTGCAACAGGGGTCCCCAACTTTGCAAACAAGGGCCAGTGTACTCTCCTTCAGACTTTGGTGGGTCCCACCGGGCCAGTGGAAGTAGAACATGTCCCAGCATTAAGTGGGAATAAACATTACCTCAGGCTTGGTGGTCAGTGGGAGGTACAAAATACCCCATCAGTGGTATTCGGGGGAGGAATAGTGCCCCATAATTGCAGTTAAAGTGTTACTAAACCCAAAACTGTAAAATCAGTCTGTATATGCAGTAAATCATGTTTGTTATACCCACTGTGGAAGCTAAGGGGTTAATCAGCATTGTGTAAAAAGGCTGTTTGATCCTGCCTTCTTTGATCCTCCCCTTCTTCTACTGTCCCTAATCCATATGCTGATAGTACAGAACTTTAGCAGTCACTCTGGAAGTAGCTTTCCATGGGGGCACCCGCCAGAGAGGAGGATATTGGAGCACCAGCAGGCGACCCCAGAAGAGGAGGATACGGGCTGCTTTGTGCAATACCATTGCAGAGAGCAGGTAAGTGTACCATGTGCGGTATTTTAGTAAAAAAAAAAAGAAGGTTCAGTGTCACTTTAAGGTAGCGCAGTGCTGAATAGCAAAAAAAATGGCCTGGTCATGAAAAGGGTAAAACCCTCCAGAGCTCAAGTTGTTAAAGTAAAAAAAAAAAAACAAAAACAAAAACCTAGTATCGCCTTAATTGCAGATACTGTCTTTAAAGCTATATAAATAATCACTGACAGGACAAAGCTCTGCCTTGGCTTTACATAAGCAGAGCTGTGTCCTTTCACTCTCCTAGCCAATCAATGGGAGCCGGCGTTCATCCATTGGCTGGAACCCTTTGATGGGCTTCTGCTGTGACACCAGGAAGTGCCAAATCACACACACGCACACACACGCACACACACGCACACACACGCACGCACACACTTTTGCACAGAACAGCTGCCCTGTATCAGTATATCGGTCAACAAATGGTTACCGGGCACTTATACCCCCTTCCTCCCAGGTCAGCTTTCAGCGCTGTCGCACTTTGAAATACAATTGCGCAGTCATGCAACTTTGTACCCATATGAAATTTTTATCTTTTTTTCACACAAATAAAGCTTTCTTTTGGTAGCATTTACTTGCTACTGAGTGTTTTATTTTTTTTGCGCTATAAACAAAACAAATAGCAAAAAATTTGAAAAAAAAGTTTTTCTTTGTTTCTAGTATAAAAATTTGCAAGCAGGTAATTTTCCTCCTTCACTTATGTGTGTTGATGAGGCTGCACTGATAGGCAGCACTGATAAGCACTGATAGGCAATACTGATGGGCACGGATGGGAAGCACTGATGGGCACGGATAGGCAGCACTGATAGGTGGCAGCACTGATAGGTGGCATGATGCTGCACTGATAGGCGGCACTGATGGGCAGCACTGATGATACTACACTGGTGGGTAACACTGCTGGGCACTGATGGGTGGCACTGATAAAGTGGCACTGATGGGTACAGGTGGGTAGCACTGCAAGGCACAGATGGGTGGCACTGATGGACACAGGTGGGTGGCACTGCAGGACACAGGTCGGTGGCACTGATGGGCACAGGTGGGTGGAACTGCAAGGCACAGGTGGGTGGCACTGCTGGGTGGCACTGCAGGGCACAGGTGGGTGGCACTGATGGGCACATGTGAATGGCACTGTTGAGCACAGGTGGGTGGCACTGCAGGGCACAGGTGGGTGGCACTGATCATCAGGGCACTGATCATCAGTGCCGTGATGATCAGTAGTACTTTGCCGGTCAGCTTTCAGCTTTCAGCGCTGTCGCACTTTGAATGACAATTGCGTGGTCATGCAACACTGTACCCATATGAAATTTTTTTTTACACAAATAGAGCTTTCTTTTGGTGGTATTTAATCACCACCTGAAACTAAAAAAAAAAGCACTTTTCTTCGTTTCTGTTATAAAATTTTGCAAATAAATAACATTTCTTCATAAATTTAGGTCAAAATGTATTCTGCTACATTTCTTTGGTGAAAATAATAAAAATAATAATAATTTAATTTGTATTTTTTTTTTTAATTTTTCTATTTTTTTATTTTTTATTACATAATTTTTTCTTTTTTTTACAATTTTTTTTTTTAGCACACTGTGACCAAAGCAATGTTACCATAGTAACATTGAACTACTCTGGGCAAGTGATCATGATTTTTCTTTTTTTTTTAACACATTATGATTGCTAATACCAATATATTTCATTGATATTTGCAATCATTGTTACTGAATGAAACTGATTCATTCAGTCTTTTGTTCTGATTAGCTGTGATTGGGCAAAGCTGATCACATGATACAGATGGACTGTGAATGGCCCTGTCTGTACCATGTGACTGCCCTGACCAGTCACAGCTAACAACATAATTGTATACAATGGATGGCATGACAGGAAGCCATCCATTGTATACAATTGACATGTGATCTGCTGTGATTGGTCACAACGGTCACATGACACTGGTAACAGACCGGTGTAGTAATATGTCATCGGCTGTGTCCACGGATCACGCTACTGCGCGGCTCGTTTTGCCAGGACGTCATATGACACCCTGTCAAAACGAGGAGTGTCCCTCACGGCCGTCAATCTGCAATAGGCCAGGCGAGAAGGTGTTAACTGAACAAGCTGAAGCTTCAGAGTGTTTCAATCGCTTCTTTCTGTCAGGGAAACCTGTCAGCCAGCTGTCTGTGTGGCATGTGATTGGTCACCTCAATGCATTCCATTAGTTCAGACCAGGTGAAACACTCTATTAGGTCTCCTTTCTACCAAATATACACTGCTCAAAAAAATTAAAGGAACGCATCAAGTCAATTAAACTCCTGGGATATTGATCTGGTCAGTGAAGTAGCAGAGGGGGTTGTTAATCAGTTTCAGCTGCTATGGTGTTAATGAAATTAACAACAGGTGCACTAGATGGGCAACAATGAGACGATCCCCAAAACAGGAATGGTTTTATAGGTGGAGATCATTGACATTTTTTCCCTACTCTTCTTTTGTGACTGTTTTTAAGTAGTTTTGCATTTGGCTAGGGTCAGTGTCACTACTGGTAGCA